GGAACTGTTCTTTATTTCACTGGCTACAAACATATCTTTAAACATAATCCAGTTGTTGATTCTACTATTCAACATTGGCACTGAGAGGGAAACTTTATGTCAGAGAATGCATTTAAACTAAAATTTTGCACACTTTGAACTCCAGATAGAGTGTTATTCGAAAAACTATCTGATTTAGAGTTAATTATCAGTAATAATTTATCAATACTTTCTTTCTCCCCTATAAAATCCTCCACTTCTCCGGGCTTACAAACATCAAAAATGGAGTTAAAAATGTTTTGAACTTGTTAGATAATGAATTAGTTTTTGGTTCAAATAGTTTGACAGCAATCAAATTTGCACTGTCAATTAATGTGACTACTTTATCTTTATGCTTAGTTAGCGAAGATTTTAAAACTCTATTTTGAGTTTTCAACTTATCCATGATGTAAAATATAAAAAAAATATTGTTTTCAAATTATTAAACAGCAGCTTCTATATAGCAATGATGTACACTGTTTGCTCTTGAACAGCTATACACTGCAAACTTTCTAAAGAAATATAATTTTTTTCTTTTCAATAAACAAATAAAATCACTTTTTAATACAAATAATGTCAAATATTACATTTTGTAAAAAACAAAACTTCAGTAGGGGAAGGTTTAATGTGCAAATTCTAATTTTAGGATACATGGGCTTTTAAAAACGCTACGCACCCTGTAGTTTATTAACGGACTCTCATTCTAAATAATCATAGATTTTACTTGCAACTTAGTACACAAAATTAATTTACACAGAAATCTTAATTTTAAGAGCATAGTATTATTGACCAGTAAATATGGTAATATTTAAGAAGAAATTCGGAAAAACATAGTATTTTTGAACTGCAAATATAATGAAATTAAAAAAAAAAAAAAAAAAATAAAAAAAAAATACAAATATGGTCACATTGAAATAATAGTTTTCAAAAATTAACATTCTAATTTCAATTAATCTTAAGAAAAAAAAAATTATCCATGTTGTAGCAGAATATTCAAAAGAACTAATAAAAATGAATGCTAAACTTATTTACTTTGAATCTAATTGACTACTTATTGCAAGCATGAATTTCAAAATAAGCTTTTTTGCAGGTTTGATGCAAAGTTTTTTAAGGTTTTGACCAAAAATTACATTATTCCCTAGCTTTGCTTTCTTAAAATAAAATTCTTTGACAATAATAGGTTTTCTGACCCTGTCGTAACCTTGGGGTATAAAAAATTGGTAATTCAAGCATTCATCAATTCAAAATCCCCATTGTAAGGTACAGTTAGTCTTCTCATACATGCTTTAAAAGTATGTACATTTCCCAAGCATATCAAAAAGATATTGAGTTAACTGAAACAACAATAAATTGAACTGAGTACTCGAAATTGAAGAAACAATAAATGGATACATGAAAAATACATATTTAAATAATATCACAGTTTAATATAAAATCCAATTAAATATTTATTTTACCAGGAGCCTGATTATGACTGTGGTTTAATAATGACATCACAATATTGCTAATGACTTGCTGCAATTGATCTTCTTGTCTTCCAGGAAAATTAGGAGTTAAAGCTGGCTGCTGGTGCTAGAAATAAGTATAGGTCATTCGTGAATCAGAATGCTTAATTATTATTTAATGAAAAGAATACTTTTTTTTTTCTCTAGAGGGAACAACATGGCTATTTGTCAATCAAGACAGACTTTTTCTGCCCACTTAAAAAAAAAAAAAAAAGGCACAGATTTTAGTTGATGAAATAATTAAATACTTTTTTTGAGTTTTGAAAAATGTTAAGAGTATTAATAGTAATGTTGGATCCGACTGGTTATGCAGATTATCACCGATAGGTTAAGTTATTCAGAACAAATACATTTAATGGTTTTGTTTTGTGAAATGGGGACTAATTTGAAAGAAATATCAACACTTTGACTGATTGACAGCAAAAAGAGGTGGGGAAAGAAGAAACAAAGAGTACAAAGAATTTTTTTTATATGAAGTAAGCAGTTTAAAAATTTAGATTAAACTAGAAATTAAAACTAACAGAATTAAGCATGTCAATAAAGCTTAAAAAAATCTTGTCATAAGAAAAACAAATTTCAAATTTGTTTAAAATAATGTGTTAATAATTGTGTTTATATCTTTGTCAAGGGGAGAAAAATAGTGTTTGATGTATATTAAGAGATAAAAAACTATTGCAAAAGTGCATTAAAAGTTATAGCTGGTTGAGAAATGAAAAATATTAGAAAATTAAGAATGCTCATGCATAAAATCAAAAAAAATATATAGATTATTTTTCTATTTTGTTGTTGTTAACAACTTAATATTTTATAAAAATTTTTGACTAAAAAAAAAAAAGAATAATGTTCATCCTAACAGAGAAAACTTTTTCTATTATTTGGCTTCCAATAACTGGGATTTTACTATAGTTATTTATAAACTTGCTAACATCAGAAATTCCAAAGGCATGAGACTTTTCTTTGAATATGGCACAGTGTAATAAACAAAACAATAATTATATTAAGAAAAAAATAAAGTCGCACATTCTTTAAATTAAATTTATATAAGTAACTTTTTACTCCTAAAAACTGTTAGTACAGTTTTTCTTTTTACTGCATTCTGTAAAAGTAAAGTAATACTTTTTCGTGGTTTATCAGCATTCAGATATTTCAAAATATTACAGGTTCTAAAAAAGGAATCAACGATAAACTAAATACATTCGATATATGAAATCGCTGATATGGAGGAAAGTTTTGAGGGCTGTATGGAAACAATGTGCAGGTCCTCCCATTAACACACTTACAATGAAAAAAGCCTCAGAAAATACTTTGCCGGCCTGATGTTCTGAGATTGGACACAAAAAAACCTCAGAGTTTGTAGGTCAGAATAATAAATAAATATAAATGAATATATATAAATGTTCACTTACAGCACTGGGAGTTCGAGATCNATGAATATATATAAATGTTCACTTACAGCACTGGGAGTTCGAGATCCGCCAGCATTGTGTCGTCTTCGAGATGGTTCCAATGCCCAAACGGAATGACAGGGCAAACCAGAATCAAAAGTGTGCAAGCTTCCCATCGATGTAAGAGGCACAGGAATCAAACTGCGAAATGGAATGTTTAGAGGAGGAGCCTGACCATTAGAGGAAGTTCCAGCAGTTGAAGAAGTAGTTCTGGGCACACTTCTAGAGGAATCTGTATTTGCTTCATTTCGTGATTCCGCAAGTGCTGTGGAAACGAAAAGACTATCAATATCACTTCATAACTATATTGCACTATCACTTCATAACTATATTATGAATGACTTACATAACAATGAAGGATTAGAACTAGAGAATTTAATTTAAAAAAACAATGCCAAATAGCTCTTTTTTTGCATCATAACACAATAAAAAGAGAGGAAAAAAACACTAAAAAAAGGAAGATAATTATAACTCTTTAGAAGCTGAATTTTTATATAAAGATAAATTTTGAAATTAGGAGTTAAAATAAATACTATGTTTATTTCTCTTTGGTTATTAAACTTTAAATTTTTAAATGAGTTTTACTGAAAAATATTGATGTGTTTTCAAAATTCTGCCAAACAAGCAGTATAAATATACTTGGTATGCTCATTTAGAGAATACGGTGTAAATGTAGTACATTGCCTAGAATTTTTTTTAAAAACAAAATAAGACTAGCTTTTAAATGAAGAGATTAAAATTTGTTTTTGGATGCATTCAAAATACAACTGAAAATTAATGTATTTTTCATTTTATTTATTTAAATTGGGTTTCATGTTTACGAATCAAAATTTTCATTAAATCATTAGTAATTCAGTGAACTTAGATTCAGACCGTTTGGTTGGTTACCGACACCAAATCTAAACATTTTGAGTTTGGTAGTTAAAGTAAATATCTAAAATTACTGTAAAATTTACTTGTATTAACTAGAAGCTTTTTGGTCAAACAAGAAAAATTGCTTGTATGTTATATTTTTCGAAGCTTAACTAAACTTTTCCATTTAATACAAAATCTGGTCCGAGTAAAAATCATGATAAATATTTAAGATTTCCTTTTTTTTTAACACAAAGATGTTTTCTGTAAGAGAATAAATAAGTCATAAGATTATCTTAAAATCAGAAACTGCCTCTTTGAGTTGTAGCCCACGCATAGAAAGGTGTCACTTTTTCAATGTTCTGAAAGGTTAAAAAGACAACATTTATTAAAAAATAAATATCCATGCCTCTTATTTGTGCAGCAGCACTAGAAATAGATGTATTCCTAGGAGAGCTAGAAGCTGAGAAAGGTCCCTCAGGTACAGGAACAATATTAAAAAATGAGCCAGCGTTACTGAGTTGAGGTGTCACCATTGATGCAATATTATCAATAGTTAATGTCGGTGATACTTCCATAAAGACCAATGGATTTTGTCCTCTTCCAATTGATGGAGTGTCAGCAGTAGATGTTGAAGTTTGGGTAGTAACTTGAGGAGTGGGTCTAACCTGAAACAATAAAAGCATTTCAAATTTTAAGCAGAAAAAAATAGCAATGACAAATGAATATGTAACAGGGTGCATAGCTAGTTTTTTCAACAAAAAAAAGCACCTTTTAAGTACTTTTTAAGCACTAAAAAAATATTTTTAATCCCGTTAAAAAAAACTTGTGCATGTGCAGCAATAATTATTTTTTCTATCATTTAAAAGTTCTAATTTATAAACATAAAATTCAAAAACTTTACATTATCATGATAAAATAACTAGTTTCTGACAAATATTACAGAGAAAATAGTAAAAATCATGCATTTTTTCAAAATTTAGAATGACAACCGATAAGGCAAAGAAAAAATCTCTTTTCAAAAGATAAAAAATTAAGCACTTTTTACAAACTCAGCATAAAAAAAGCACCTTTAAGGGCTTTTGAAAAATTTAAATAAAAAATAAGCACCTTTAAGCGCTCTTTAAAAATGCTATGGACCCTGTTTAAATCAAATATATAGAAATAGACTACAATTAGAGATGAGTTCAAACTCATTTTTAGCAATGTTTTAACATCTTTTAAGTAGGTTTACTTATTTTTTTGTTTCTCCCTTTTGGTTGTTTTTCATTGATTTAAAGTGGATTAAGATATTCTATCACAAATATAAATAAAAATTGTAAAGTTAGAAACTAAAAATATAATAAAAACTTGATGGAAATAGATATAAATGTTCTCTCCAGGATGCAGGGGTGATTGTGAGCCCAAGTCAAAATTCCGGAAAATTTCTCGAGTTAAAAAAAAAAAAAAAACACAGTAGATTGAAAAAAATTTAAACAATATTTCTTAGTTAACTAAAAATATATTTAAAATTTTACGAATACCTATACCATTTACACATACCTATGCTGACCTAGAGAAGTAATTAAAATTTATAAATATGTCTTTCTTTCTCGAGTTTATGATTATAATAACTATTTACTGATAAAAAATGAATATTAATCATGAATATAAGCTTATAAAGTATGTCTCTGGATCTCCCTTAGAAACAAATAAAATAAACTGTCATGATCAATGATTTTTTGAAATGTCTGGACCTTCGATCTCCGGAAACTTCCAGATCACTGTTAGCGAAAAATCCGGAAATCCGGATTTTTTCCGGAGCACAATCAGCCCTGAGGATGCATTGCTTTATGACAGAGGCATTTTGAAATAAAGAATAATTATCTTAAGATAAAAATTACTCTTTATAATGCACCAATACTTCAAAAAAATCAAAATAACATAATTATAAATTAGTTTAAAATCAAAGGAGGAAGTAAAAAAAAAGAAGCAACTTACTGATATGAAACCAAAAAAAAAAAAAAATAATAAATAAATAAATAAATAAACAAAATAAAATAGATTGACTAATGTAACAGTTAGCAAAATTGCTTATGTAAGAAGAAAAATAATAAAAAATCAGCTGTCATATATATATTTAAGAAATATGAAATATGTGTAAAGCTTGAAAGTATTTTGATGTATAATAAATGATGAAAATAATTTGAGCAATCAATATTTGGTTGAGCTCATTTCATCTCAAGTACTAGTCAGATGTTTCGAAAACAATAAAAGGTCTAGAATAAAAATTTTACAGACATATGCATAAAAAATGTGAAAACATAAGATATAGAAGGCAAAGGAAAAAAATTACAAAATTTAGACTGTTGGTCAAATAACTTGAAAAATGCCACCTCTAATGTTTGCAGGAATAAAATTATTTTAGAACATCAAAGAGGAAAAAAAAGTGTTTTTTTTTTTTTTTTTNGGTTGATTTTTTTTTTTTTTTTTTTTTTCAAAATTAAATTTATGAATTTTATTTAAACATGGCAAACATTTTAAAAATGACATAATATAGGCTTCTTAGTGAGCCAAAGAAAAAATAAGGACAATATATTTTTAAAAAAATCAGGAAATACTTTTGGGATAGTAGACATTACTAAAAAAAGATAAACTAAAATAATCATAATTTATAAAGTATAACGCAAAAATACTTGAGTGAAAATTGAGCCACCCTTTATTAGATTCTTCATGATCTTAATGAATTGTAAGTAGAATAAAAGGAACAGTTAACAAAAGCAAAAATAATTATAGGATTTTTGATTTTTCAGGAAATTTTTTATTGTAAGAATATTCTCTTTTATTTTAAAATTTAGAAAAAAAAAATTCTTAGACTGTAAGCTTAAACTAAATGTTTGAATTTATGTTATATGAATAAATAGTTTAAAAATGAATTATTTAAGAGTAAGAAAAATTAATGTAATTGGCAATAAGGAAACATGAATCCTTCACTTACTTCTGCATTAGAACTTGGAGCACTTTCATTAGTAGCATTATTACTGGTAGTGGTCGTATTTGAAGTCGATGATGGACCACTTGATGTGGAAATGCTGATTTGTGCCTAAAAAATTTTCAAATATAATACTAGTAAAAAACATAATACATATACAGTGGAACCCCGATTTTACGTTGTCCGTTTCGTACGTTATCCCGCTTCTTGCGTCATTTTCTGCTGATCCGTGAAAATTGCCTATACCGATAATTTTAAAATATCCCGGATTTTGCGTTACCCCTTTTATGAAAATCCCGGTTGATGTGTTTCTCTACCAACAAATCAAATTAATTTTTTTTTATTCTACAACTCTCACACAAACTTTTTTCTAGTTTTTTGAACAAGAAAAACTTGCTTTTCAGCTGCATTGAGCAATTCTTGCATTCTCTCTGTTCCATTTGTTAATAGGGGGGTGGG